AGCTTTGTTTTTCTCTTTATAAATCCTAATAAAATTATTTTTAAGAAGAAAAAATAATAATAACCACCAACACTGGATATCCTATCCATTATAGCAGGCATAGGCAAACTCGGCCCTCCAGATGTTTTGGACTACAACTCCCATCATCCCTAGCTAACAGGACCAGTGGTCAGGGATGATGGGAATTGTAGTCTCAAAACATCTGGAGGGCCAAGTTTGCCTATGCCTGCATTATAGGGACCACATGCAAAGGAGATAAGAGCACTAAAAGCACTAGAGGCATGTCTCTGAGCTGAACCGTGTCCCTGTCTAAAAGCCTGCCTAATGTGGGGCAGATTTGGGGCCTAAATATCTCTGTGGTTCAGGTGCCCAGATTTGTCTTGAGACCCTAGCACAGGGGTAGGCAACCTAAGGCCCATGGACTGGATGTGGCTCAATTGCCTTCTCAATCCGGCTCATGGATGGTCCGGGAATCGGTGTGTTTTTACATGAGTAGAATGTGTCCTTTTATTTAAAATGCATCTCTGGGTTATTTGTGGGGCATAGGAATTCGTTCATTTATTTTTTTCAAAATATAGTCTGGCCCACCACATGGTCTGAGGGACGGTGGACCAGCCCATGGCTGAAAAAGGTTGCTGACCCCTGCCCTAGCAGATGGAGATGAAGGGTTTATAGGAAGTGGGAAGGGAAAGTAAACAGTTCAAGGCTCTTGCTATCGGGAAAGAGGCAGGACGGATCTTGACCAATCACTTAAAGAGTCAAAGGGCATCAAAGCATCTCATAAAATTAGAGAACAACTAGACTCATCCAATAAATGAGCAACTGTAACTATTAATAAATAATGTCCCGACCCTAAATCAATTATTGGTCACTGGGCTCAGAGAAATGCTTGGCTAATTGGGTCAATGATGTGAAGTAAGTCAGTAGTTTCTCAGACCTCTTTTTCCCACGGACTTCTTGAAAATTGCTGAGGGTCTTTGTGGACCACTTAATGATTTCTCTGCCTCTGGTAGCAATTGTAACGTGCCATGCTAGCTGCTGCACGATCTTTAATTGCGTTTTGATGGCTTCTTTCATTTCTTATATATTTTATAAGTGCCAGGCAATATATAAGAAACAATCAATCAAAAGGCTATCAAAAATCAATGAGAGTATTTAATGCAATGGATGTGCCATCTGCCATGTTCAGTCGCAAATCCAAAGACCAGCTGAACGAAGCTTGAGGCCACAGTTTGGGAACCCCTGAGGTAGGTTCTGATGTCTGATAATGGCTGCTGTTTGGGTAGCAGCTTCTGCCTCGTCTTCTCGGCTGGTCGGAGCTCACTTTACTTTCTGCTGCCTACTCTTAATTGGTTTGTTCCCTTCTCTCCTTTTCCTTCTTTGCCAGACCACCTCCTCTCCCGTTTTTCACCGCTCTTCTCTTCTCCTCTTCCAAGCACCACACCAAAATTTCTCTCCCTAATTGACTCTCACTCTTCTTTAACCCCATTTAACACCCGTCCCAATTGCAGAGATCGCAATCCTAGATGCTAGGAGCAGGTCTTACCATGACATTACCATGTTCTTCCCTCATTTTGCCAGTGAAGAAAGACATACTGCATGACCGTGTCTCCTCAGAATCTGATGGGGCTTACTCCTAGGTAAGTGTGTACAGTGGTACCTCGGTTTAAGAACAGTCCGGTTTAAGAACGATTCAGTTTAAGAACGATTCAGTTTACAAACTCCACAAAACCAGAAATAGTGTTCCGGTTTGAGAACTTTAACTTGGTCTAAGAACAGAATCCAAACAGTGGAAGGGCACCGGCAGCGGGAGGCCTCATTAGGGAAAGCAGGTCTCAGTTTAAGAACAGTTTTGGTTTAAGAACTGACTTCTGGAACGAATTAAGTTCATAAACCAAGGTACCACTGTACAAGAGTATAGTTTTAAGGTAGCTGTGTAGGGTAAGTCTACAGCGTGAGTTGTTTTATTATTATTATTATTATTATTATTATTATTATTATTATTACCACCACCACATTTTTCTGTGTATAAGATGACCCAATGTATAAGGTAACCCCTATTTTTTTGAACCCAAAATTAAGAAATCAGTATTTCTTGAGTTTTTGAGCTTCTGGGGGGGAGGTCACCACCACTGATTACCCACTTGCCACAGCTGCCGATCGCCCACTCGCTGCCGCCAATCACCCGCCTGTCCCCCCCTCTACATTCACTATCCATGTATAATACAACTGCTTGATTTTTTCCCCGCAAAAAACATCATCTTATACACAGGAAAATACGGTGTTATTATTATTAACATTTATATGCTGCTTTCCCCCACCCCCACCCCATGGCAGTTGCTCAAAGTGGCTTACAAATATAAAACCAAGAACAAAAGTGACAGGGGTCCATCTATCAAAACACAAATTAGCAAACTAAACACAGCAGCAAAATACAACAGGAAAACCCCCACAAACTACATATCTGCAAGAGCATAAGATTTATCTAGAAAACAAAACCCCACAGTATATGCAAACAGGGGCTCTCCCACAAACCCATCCCCTCACACCCCACTTTCACTTTTTAGTGGGTTTATATGTGCCAGAGTTCTAGGTCCAATTCCATGATCTGACCTGCCTATCTTGCATTGCCTTGGACACAATTCTTAGCCACCCGATACGGTGGTTCTCTGTTTGCCCTGGGAACAAGGATGATAAAAGGATGACGTCCTTCTAGCTTTGCAGTCCGATTAAAATGCATGTGTATTGGGGAAGAAGTCACACAGAGATCCATGGGACTCACTAGGTCAGGCAAGCTGGAGGTTTGTTGTTGTTTAGTCGTTTAGTCGCGTCCGGCTCTTCGTGACCCCATGGACCAGAGCACGCCAGGCACTCCTGTCTTCCACTGCCTCCCGCAGTTTGGCCAAACTCATGCTGGTAGCTTTGAGAACACTGTCCAACCATCTCGTCCTCTGTCGTCCCCTTCTCCTTGTGCCCTCCATCTTTCCCAACATCAGGGTCTTTTCCAGGGAGTCTTCTCTTCTCATGAGGTGGCCAAAGTATTGGAGCCTCAGCTTCAGGATCTGTCCTTCCAGTGAGCACTCAGGGCTGATTTCCTTAAGAATGGGGAGGTTTGATCTTCTTGCAGTCCATGGGACTCTCAAGAGTCTCCTCCAGCACCATAATTCAAAAGCATCAATTCTTCGGCGATCAGCCTTCTTTATGGTCCAGCTCTCGCTTCCATACATCACTACTGGGAAAAAGCTGGAGGTATTGTATATTAAAACGTTCAAGGCCGAATTCCTAAGCTCAGCTCTCGCAGGAAAGATATGCAAGACCATTAAACTACAGAATTCAGCCACTAGAGGGCATCCCTTTATTTTCAGACTGCTTTGACTGGACTTGCCTAGATTTCCGTAATTTAAAAATAAGATATGCTTCCCTAGGTGAGATTCACGTGTTCTTTATTCCCTGCCCAACATGAGGCAGGCAGAGAGCATGACCTGTTATAAGATTCTGCCTGGAAATTGCCAGATTTCTTAACTTTTGTCAATACTTGGCATTTATCTGGCACCATTTGGGGGCACGAAGCATTTCACAAATTATCTCAGGAATTCTCACATAGATAGGGCTCTGAGGCTGTTCCGATTCTGACAAGGGCCCATTGCATCTTGTGAGGCTGCACCACCTTTGCAGCCTCAGTTCCATATCTGTGAAATGGGTTCAATGGGGATCTGCCAGGATGTGATGAGCGTTACAAAATATTGTTTGTGAAGGTGTCAAAAGTGTCCCTATAAGGTTGGGAATACAAGCCAGTAGTTTAAAAAAACTAAGTTTACTATGGACATATTTTGTATTGGACAAATATTTATTAGTACCCAATATTTTCCTAAGGAGCATTATATACTACAGTGGTACAGTGGGTTACATACGCTTCGGGTTACATACGCTTCAGGTTACAGACTCCGCTAACTCAGAAATAGTACCTCAGGTTAAGAACTTTGCTTCAGGATGAGAACAGAAATCGTGCAGCGGCAGCAGCAGGAGGCCCCATTAGCTAAAGTGGTGCTTCAGGTTAAGAACAGACCTCTGGAACGAATTAAATACTTAACCCGAGGTACCACTGTACCACGGGTCTCTGATCCAAATTTTGGCCTAATCACTACAATAATACCTCCACGAACGTCCGCCTTGTCTAGCATCCATTCCAGCGAACAGTCCGCAGCAAACCCGGAAGTACCGGAACAGGTTACTTCTGGGTTTGTCGCTCGCACATGCACAGAAGCGCTAAATCGCAAGCACAAACCGCTCCGCGTGCGTGTGCAGACGCTTTGCCATGCGTCCTTTTCGGCTAGCGGCCAGGGCTCTGTACCTGAAACATTACAACCAATTCAGGACTTCCTTCAAATTGGCTTCCCAAGAATTGCTGGGAGCAGCTGAAGTTGTGCATCAGCAGAACAGCAGGGCATAATCGCAATAAGCAAATGTTGGTGTTAGATTGAATCCCACAAGGTGCAAAGGAGTTGGCTTTTGCTTTGGCCCGTACCCATGTGCATATTCTCAAAAAGATCTAGGGACAATTCAGAACTCATTATTCTCCCCCTATTCGTACTTTCTAAGAGACAGTCCTTTTCACAAGGCATTTTTGCTGCTGAGATACCAAACTATACTGGGAGAATAGCATCTGTTTACCTCCGGCGCCTGTAGGGTAAAAATGCTGTCACTAGTTATTTTATTGTTCTTTATATTCCGAAGCCTAATAGAAGTATTTGCAATGCTCCGTGCTGCCTAGCCAACACAAATTTGTTACAGTCAGGCTTGCGGTTGTTCAGAGGTTGCAGAAAACATTTGCTAAGTTTATTTTAGAGTGAGATGTTAAGATGTTACTATACCTGATTTTTTATTGATTATAGTCCACCCTCTTATAAAACCAGGAGAAAAAATGTGTATCGTTTTGTGGATGCTAGCGGTTTAAACACAAATACAGGGAGAGGGAGGGAGAGAGACTGAGACTGCTGATAACATGGTTTTTGTCTTCTTTTATTTATAGTATAATTGTTGTAATGACATACTGGTTTAAACAATAAATACTGGAGAGAAACATACTAAGTAGAGAGTTCCAATGTGTGGGTCATGAGATTCATAGCATTAATGGCCGGATCTTTAACCAGCAGAAGACCATCTTTTTCTTCATCTTTTTACAATCTACAATGACTGGAGACTTAAATTCAGAGGGCCTTTTCAGGGCAGCTTTTCATCCAATAGCAGAAAGGCCTAGGATTCTGTTGCCCCCACTTTTTTAAAAAAAAAAGTAAAAAAAGCAAGAGGCCACAGGAAACCAAAATTTGGAGGTAGGGAAACACACACACATGCAAAACACTAAATGGATCCCCTACTTTACATTTCCAAAAAGTAGTTTTACACCATGGGTGGAACTCAACACCCCACAATGGCGAATGTCTCATCAGCACAAACACTAACCTTGCCAGATGGAATTATCTGGGGGGCCCCATTTTTTGTGGGGGGCCCCCCTCTCCTGAACCGCCCCCCCAGTCAATATTGGAAGATGCCAGGGGAGGGGAAAGTCCTGTTGCACAAGCTCACGCCCTTGTACAAGGCTTGTGCTGATGTTGCTTCTTAGGTGAACCCCATCCTATATTTTAAAGTGTGCATCATATAAGAGAGATTGCTTGTGCGTACGCCCAGGGAGGGGAGGGAAAACAACACATGCATTCTCTAGCTGAAGCTTTTACAAATGGTCTGGGGAAAGGCAGGATTAGCTGCCCTGCGATTTCTCTGACGAATAACAATTTGTGCTTTTTTTTTTTTTTAACTGATGGTTTCCAGCAACCGTCTGAATGCTTATATACAAGACCAGGCAAGTTTACCTTCTCTCTCCCTCCCTCCCACCCACCCACCCGCATCCTGATTTTATTTTCACTTATTTACAAAGCACTTTTACATAGAGGAACGGCAGATCAAACTGGGGGCCAGGCAGGCGATGAAGTTAAGCAGTGGGCAGCGTGGAGATCACCTTTGGAACATGAGTTTTCCGTGTTAGGTGGACGGGTCCTTTACTGGATGCTTGCTATGAAGGACTGGTACCCATCACCACAACATCCGCATCCCTCGAATACACAATAGAAACATCCTGCCTCCTAGCATGGTTGGTGGATGTTCAAGGGGATCATAGCAGACAGCAGAGCTTTGTGGAGGTACTAAGCCTCTGTCTCCCCATGTTTTAGCGTAAGACAAAGGCACAATAAGTTCTCTCGCTGGATTACAAACACCTCCCCTTTCCCAAGCCAGCCCCTTGCAAAATAATTTTAAGTTTCCCCAGGAGACACGCTATTTCCTTTCTTAATGGGGAAAGCTTTGATGGGGACGCAAGTTCGCTACTTAGAACCGAGCCCTACTCTCCGAATTCCGTTTCTTGAGAGCCATGGGATTAGACTTTCTTTGTACGGCAGGCAAGCTATGGTGCGGAGGAAAACTGTCCCACACCATGGGGTTTCTAGGAGAGGGAGCTGGGCTACGGGCACTTAAGAGGTGATGGGCTGGTTCCCCTCGCTCCCTTGCTGCCAACGCTTCTCTCTCTGGGTGAATTCAAGGACACAACTGATACGGGAGGAAGCCAAAGGATGCACCTCACAAACACCCCTAATAAGCCAGGGCTAAGCCTCCAGTACCCCCTACCCCTTTTGCATCCAAGATAGTTGGATAATCTCCAGAGGAGTCACTTAGTGACTAAAGCACCTTCTTTCTGCCTGTTCCCTTCCCCCAGGGTTCAATTCCTTGGTGCAACAGTGGTTGGGAAGACACTCAAAGCCACTGGCAGCGATATGGCTTGGGGACGTCTCTCTCCAGTCCCAAAGGCAGGAAATAGCCATTGCCATGGCTCCATAGATTGCAGCTGGGTACACAGTCGAGAGAGCGCCAGGGTTTGTCCCTGGAGGACCTGGAAGGCAGAGGGGAAGATAGGACCCAGGGGGAATCCTGCCATTCCTCCTGGCTTTGTGGGGTTGGCAGAGCTCAGCGAGGACGCCAGCTTAAAGGCACTACCAGCTAGAGAAATTTCACTCTGCTTCCTGTGAAGCTCTCTGCTGGTGGCTTTAAGGGGCCCAGGAAGGAAGGAAGGCAGGGCCCCAGAATAGTTTCAAGGGGAATTAAGGCTGTTTATGTTTTCCGTCAACCCAGGCCAAAACTCAGGATGGCAGGATCTCAATATTACTGCTGTGTTGCTAATAACATAATTGATGCAATTAGAAGCAAATTAGCTCTACGCTTGGCAGCATTAGAGAACATGCCAAATACAGAGGAGGGAAAGAAAGAGAGAAAGAGACAGAGACAGAGAGATGGATGAAGCTCAGAAAGGCACCTCTGTTCCCGGTGTACAGCAAACCAGAGCGCTTTAGAAAGCGGTGCCATAGCTTGTTTAAAAAAACCCAAAACACTCAGAGAGAAAGTCCAGCAAGCTGTTAAAGCCACATGGCCACTTTGCGCAGAATATGGCTGCTTCAAATGCAGAAACAGCTTGCTGGGATACAGCCCTCAAACAGAGGCATACGCAGTTTCCGTCTCTAGTCCTCATGGAGGTGAAGGAAAGCCACTGAGCGGATTCTGGCAACAGAGGAGCGTAGTTACAAATGGCTTTAAATGCATCTTTAAGTCCCAGGCAAGGGATTCTGTGCCCCTCCTTTTAAGGAGAGGCTCAGGCCATCAGGGGTGCGAAGGGGAGAAAGGGCATTTAATAACCCTTCCATCTCCTGTCCTCTTCCCCTGCTGAAAGATTACCCTCGTCCTAAATGGGCAGCTGGGGCTTTTTGCATTCAGCCGCATAAGAGTGCACAGCCTCGTTCACAGGGTGAAACTCAGCAATAGCTTCTTCAGCTGGGGAGCCAGGGGCCTTTCAGATGTTGCAACTCCAGCTCCCATCAGCCCCAGCCATTGCTGTCCATAGCCAAGGCTGATGGGAACTGTAGTCCAGCGGCATCTGGGAGACTTCTAGTTTTCTGCCTAGAATAATGGCATACATCAAGATTCCCACGCCATCTACGGCTCTTACGAAAAGGTAGAGAGGTGAGATCAGAGAGATGAGGACCTAGTTGTACGCATCCCACCCTCCTGGCTAACAGTGATAGGCACTCTTAATCTAGGGAGATGACCTCAAGGGACGTATTTGAAATGAAGGAATTTCGGGTCCATATAGCAAAATCCGGAAGGAAGGAAAGGACTGGCAGCGCGGAATTGTATGTAGCAATGGTGTGCCGAATGAAGGGGAGCAGCCACTGGATAGACCCCGCTAAAAAGGCTGAAGAATTCAAGGTCCCCAAATTATTTCCCAAAGAGGGCAATGAAACAAGGGAACCAGATGAGAGCACCGGGTGGAAAGAGGAGTCTTATGAAATGCAAACTCGCTGTACCCAACAGTGAGGCTCTAAACGCAACAGTTACACTCGCCAAACTATTCAACGCTGTTTTATAGGAGAGCTAATCCCGTTAACAGCGTGCCAAGCAATGCTCTGTAGCCTTCCGAGTCCCCTTCCATAAAGCCAGACTCTGCATAGACTCTGCCCTACGAGGAACATTCTAGTGGCTTCGTCAGAATCGGAGGCCACACCCTCGCATTTCTGGTAACTGAAGCACCATAATGGAGAAATAACCCCCTATCCGATTTTCTCCTGAAAATAACGAATCTCAGGAAGAAGAACATGCACCAGCATTTAATAATATTTTAAAAAAACAACAACCCTGCAAATGCTGGACTTCACACTCGGGGTCCCGAATTCAAATCCCATCAGGAGGTGGCCGTTGGCAGGGAACAGCTCCTCAAAAGTTTAAGCTTCTCTGCTGCAGACACTACGATAAACCAAGAATATGCGCCCGGCCCCACTATGCCCGAGATACCTGCAAAGTTTCCTCCATTTTCCCTCACCCACAGCATATTGTGCTTCAATTATAGAGACAGGGTTAGGCTAACTTTTTACCCCTTCCATCACCCCTGACCACTGGCCATACTGGCTGAGACCAATGGGAATCAGAGTCCAGCTTCTAGAGGGCCCCACAGACTTCCCACCCCTGAGAAAAAGGTCATTCCCAGAGTCTGTGCTGACCCAGCACTGCCTTTGCGTTTCTGGGTGGTTATGGCAAGAGACTACAGTTTGCGTCCCCTTCAGTTCCTAGCCTACTTCAAGTTCTGTGCCCAACTGCTTCCTGCTTGGTCCTGTCGACAAATAAGCAGAGCAAAAGGCACCGGAGGAGAGTCGCAGCTATGCTGTTTGTGCTCAGTATAGAGGATGGAGGAGGAGGGCAGCCAATTTCTTAGATCCCACGGAACGGAACTCATTTAAGAGCCTCCTTAAAAAAACAAAAACTACTAACATCTCACTACATTCAGGGTTGCCCTGTGATGCCTGAACCCAGGCTAAAGGCTCCTCAGGGAAAGCAGACACGGGCAACTTTGGAGAAAACACGTCCGCATGGTCCTATAAGCCCTGCAGTATTTTATGGAGGTGCATCCAGCCTAATCCTTTCTCCCCAGCTGGGACATTCTCAGTTTGCATTTCCTCCTTGGGAATCACAATACGCGTCAGGCCCGAGAGCTTTCCCGTCCAGTAACAGGACACAAAATCATTGCATCTCACTCATCAGTGTTAACAGAAGAGCTTCCTAACAAAAGCATTTGCGTCGCTTTAGAGAACCGCCGAAAGGTATACACAGTTGCAAGCAAGGCGTGGGACATTTTAAGGGTTCAGAACAACCTCTCGTGTTTTTACCTCTGTTCATTATACTAAGCTAGGGGGCTTTCTCTTGCTTGAAAGTACATGCAATAGCATCTGAATAGGTATGACCAACTCAGAGGTTTCCCCCCTCCATCTGGCCCATAAAGAAGAACTTTGCTTTTAGTTGCATATATATAGAGATATATTATTATTATTATAATAATATTAAAGTTTCGTGGGCCTTGTTGACTTAATGGCCACTTCACGCCTCCCAGCGCTCCAACGGAAGCTGAGGAAAATAATCCACTTTTGGATCCAGCCTGCAGCCCGAAATCTCACCCCGCCAAAAATAAGGCAACGACTTGGAAGAGGCACAGCTGAAAAACCCAAAAACTTACATTCCGCTGCCTCCCCTTTACGCCGAATAGTGAACAGACACCTATGTGTGTGAACTTGTGCGCCTATTAATTAAACGGTTATAAATATACAGAAGAGCTCCTCCGTCAAAAAACATAAATAGATCCTGTTGTGCTCCCACACCCTCCCGGTTCTGTAAACATTTGGCAATACATATCTATATATCTATATATATATATACATATACATATACACATATACATACACAGATTGCTTCCAGCAAACGAATGTGCAAAACGTAGCCGTCTTGTATAGAGGACGAGAAATGAGGTATACTGTGTTTGTGTGTGTGGATTACCCGTAAGCTATTCCAGACCTGCTCTTCAGGGCCTCTCGGGAGCTGCGATGCCTGTCCTGAGTTGGCCTGACTCTTGCGACACCCCCCTCCCACCAGCAGAACGGCTTCCGGCAGGGAAAAGGAGCATCGTCACATCAGGATGCAGCCGCGCTGTTCGCCGTAGGAGTTGTCCACACGATCGATTTCCTCAATGATCCTGGTGAAGACACCTTGGGTCATCTGTGAGGCACAGAAAGGCAAAACGCACCTGGGTTACCCAAGAGGAGAAGGGGAACGCTGCTGCGTTTGTCAGGCTTCGGGGAATCGGATGCCTTCCCCGGCAGCAGGAATTAAACAGACCAAACAAAAGGAGCGTTCTTACCAGATAAGTTCTTTAATAATCACGCTATAAAATGGCGTTGCTCCCAGTAAAGGCTCGCCCCCACCATCCCCATTAATCTATGTCACTCCTACAATGGGTAATCCCAGAATACCTGAAGGAGCGTCTCCACCCCCATTGTTCGGCCTAGACGCTGAGGTCCAGCTCCGAGGGCCTTCTGGCAGTTCCCTGCTGTGAGAAGTGAGGTTACAGGGAACCAGGCAGAGGACCTTCTCGGTGGTGGCGCTCGCCCTGTGGAATGCCCATCCCTCAGAAGTCAAGGAAATAAACAACTATCCGACTTTCAGAAGACAAATGAAGGCAGCCCTGTTTAGGGGAGTTTAGGGATGTTTTATCGTGTTTTTAATATTCTGTTGGGAGCTGCCAACAGTGGCTGGAGAAACCCAGCCAGATGGGCAGGGTATAAATATTATTTTTTTAAATTATTATTATTATTATTATTATTATTATTACTATTATTATAATAAGGGGGGCTTCAGGAATGCAGTCCAAGGACACTGAATCTGCCAGCTGAATCCTAGTGCTCTTCGAGCTGCTCCTCACCCAGTATTTCCCAGCTTTCCCCCTCTGGACTATGCCCTTCTGCAAACCGCTATTCTAAATCAATACTGTCCTCCTGCCCTTGGGAAGGTTCAGAAAACCCACCATTCCTCCTCTGTCCAGTCCCTGACATTTTGAGGATGGCGAGGATCCTTCTGTGGTTTGCAAGGATGGCAAACCCATTGGCCGCCAGATGTTGCTCCACTCCAATGAGCCCCAACCAGCACAGACGTGGTTATGGGAGTCCAGCAACACGGTGGGTGGGTGGGTTTGTACAAGGCCTCTATCCCTGTTTTATGTGTTCTTTGGTGAAGTGTCTGGGCCAGGGGCAAGTCTCCCTTCTGCAACTGGAAACACTTGTGAATACACCTGCACCTACCTTTGCAATTATCTTATGGAAGAGTAAACGTAAAGGACCCCTGGTTAAGTCCAGTCAAAGGCGATCTCATTTTCAGGCCGAGGGAACCGGCGCTTGTCCACAGACAGCTTTCTGGGTCATGTGGCCAGCAGGACTAAACTGCTTCTGGCGCAACAGAACACTGTGACGCAAACCAGAGCGCACGGAAACACTGCTTACCTTCCTGCCACAGTAGTACCTATTTATCTACTTGCACTGGCGTGCTTTCACTGCTAGGTTGGCAGAAGCCGGGACAGAGCAACAGGAGCTCACATCGTCGCGGGGATTTGAACCGCCGACCTTCTGATCGGCAAGCCCAAGAGGCTCAGTGGTTTAGATCGCAGCGCCACCCGCTTTACAGGTAGTAAAGAATAAGTGAGAAAACTGCCCATTCCTAGATATAGGGGTTCTGAAATTCTGGAAGCTGAAACAGAGGCCGCCTGCTAATTCCACGTCAAAAACAAAGTCATGGCAATGCTCAAACCGCGGGAAGAAGGGGAGGTTTCTGTGGACATCAGAAAGTCACATTCGGTTCCTCTCTTTGCCTCCCAGTGCAAGAGCACAACAAACAGGTATCGTACCTGGTTTTCTTTTGCCGAGGATTCCAAGAATACGGCGCCCCAAGAATCAGCAAGCTTCCGGCCTTCATCAGTCTTCACCTGACGGCTAAAGCAAACACACAAAGGGGAGGAGATGAAAGCAGGGGAGACATCAGTTCACCACTATGTTTTACAGGTTGTCATTTGAGACACCTGATGCTGAAGATCTGGGACCGGAGAAGCAGCGGGGTAAAATTAATGAAAATAAATCAGACAGTGCCGTATACCGCCCAGAGTGGCTGGGAAAACACAGCCAGAAGAGTGAGGTATAAATAATAAAATTATTATTATTCCTATTATTATTACTTTGCATGCCTGAAAAAAGGTCTGGGTGCTTTATAGGAAACATTTGGACAAGTACAGAATTATTTAGGACATTATTTGGGTTGCAATATTTTGTTTTAGGAACATGGGTGGCACTGTGGGTTAAACCACAGAGCCTAGGACTTGCCGATCAGAAGGTCGGCGGTTCGAATCCCCGCAACGGGGTGAGCTCCCGTTGTTCAGTCCCAGCTCCTGCCAACCTAGCAGTTCGAAAGCACCTCAAAGTGCAAGTAGATAAATAGGTACCGCTCTGGCGGGAAGGTAAACGGCATTTCTGTGCACTGCTCTGGTTCGCCAGAAGCGGCTTAGTCATGCTGGCCACATGACCCGGAAGCTATGGACAAATGCTGGCCTCCTTGGCCTATAGAGCGTGATGAGCACCACAACCCCAGAGTCGTCTGCGACTGGACCTAATGGTCGGGGTCCCTTTACCTTTATTTTGTTTTTAGAGGGCGAAAGAATAAACTTGCTCCCATCCCTGCTAAGTTCTCATCTACAGTCAAACCTTTTGACTAACACTGATGCGTTTCGAAAACTTTTATTGCCTCCACGAGTACTAGAAGCCTCCAGGGGGGAAAAAGCCACCAAAATGCTGGATTTCCCCCTATGTCAATCATAAGAGTCCCGTTTTGATGCAGAAATGTTTTACATTTCAGAAACGCGTGACCCTGATCCCTAGAATCAGGAACCAACAGATTCCTTTGGCGCTTACAACAGGGGCCTATTCAAGGCAGAATTCTACTTTGGAATGTTATGAATGTTTGGAATATGGCAAGATTGGAGCCCAGCAAGAAGATAGGGGTCGGCTCCGCACAATGCACCATTTATACTGTGGCAAGGCGTGCGCAAGCATACCTAGTGTGAGAGAATACATGAAAACAACCCCCCCAAAAAACAACCCTCCCATTATTATCATCATCAAGGAATGATAATAGAAATGATCTTCAATTAAGGGAAGGTGCATGTGATCCTAGTGAGAGACATAAAGGAACAGCATTTGTTCTAAGAGATCAAAAATGTAACCACAAAAAAATTTAACCTCCTCAATCCCAATATGGCTGGTTTTATGCCCGGTGTTTGAAAAAAGACAGACTGAAGCAAACAGATCCCATCCTTAAGGCTCGGGCTGTATGTTCTCAGCAGGGTGGCTTTGATTTAAATCAAATTGATTTAAATCACGATTTAAATCACTAGTCGGCAAGACTTGATTTAAATCACTAGTCAGTAAGACCTGATTTAAATCATTTTCTTACAGAAAGACTCATTCTTGCTGGTATAACCTTAATATTTACAACCAGATGAAGGTTTCATTTTTGGAATAATAAATTTTCAGAGCAGTTTTTACAGTTATATCAAAAGTCACTGATTTGGTTATACTGTTAGAAATACAAAGACAGGCAATTATGAAACTATTGTTTCTATTTGGACAACTTTTCTGCTGTACTTTATTGGAAGGAGAAAAATAATCATTTCCTTAATAACAATTTAAACAATTTATTTAAGATTGTTAAGTTAAGACAATAACATTATAGCATATTTGTTAACTGATGTGAGTTTTAGCACACATGAAAAACTCAAAACAAATCCTTATATCCTGATGGATAGCCTTTGGACTATAATGTAAACTTAAACAGAAAACTATCTTTAGAAAGATTTTTCCTCCAAAATCATTTTATTTTAAAAATCCGATTTAAATTTTAAAAATCTGATTTAAATAAAAAGAATCAGATTTTTAAAAAAGCAAAACCCTGCTTTTTTATTTTTATTTTTAAAAAATCATTGATTTTTATCCACCCTGGTTCTCAGGCGAGAGACGGCAAAGCGCTTACCTTTCTAGAGACAGATCAGCCTTATTGCCAACAAGCACTACCGGCATCCTGCCAAAACAGAAAGGGACACTCTTAGGAAAAGTAGAGGGTTTCAAACCCAAAGCCACTCACCAAAGCACTTCCAACAGCCAGGGGTTCAGTATGTTACCAGCGCCTGCCTCAAACGCTGCTCTTGCATAGGAGCTGGCAAGACTAGAACTGTGGCACTTCTCTTGCAAGGACATGAACTTCTGATGGGAGCTGCTCCTTTCCTTGCAGAACTCAATCAGAAATTATTCCTGCATTTCAGGGGGTCGCACCCAATGACCCACTTGGGGTCCCTTCCAACTCTATGGTTCCGTGAAACAATTTGTACCATGTCACTGTGTGTCGTTTAAGAGCAGGGTCTCCCAAACTTGGGTCGCCAGCTGTTTTCGGACTACAACTCCCATCATCCCTAGCTAGCAAGGATGAGCGTTCAGGGATGATGGGAACTGTAGTCCAAAAACAGCTGGTGACCCAAGCTGGGGAAAGCCTGGGCTTAGAGGAGAGGTGGAGAAGCTGTGACCGTCCATTGGACCCATAGCTGTCAACGTTTCCCTTTTTTAAAAAGGGAAATTCCCTTATTCTGAATAGGATTCCTCGCAAGAAAAGGGAAAAGTTGACAGCTATGATTGGACCTCAACTCCCATAGTCCCTGAACTTTGATCAGACTGGTGGCTGAAAGAAAAAGCAAGCATTAAAAAACAATTAAAGAAGGTCAGAAGTAAAACTATATACATATACAGTCATACCTTCGATCCCAAACACCTTGGAACTCGGACGTTTTGGCTCCTGAATGCCGCAAACCCGGAAATGAGTGTTCTGGTTTGCGAACGTTCTTTGGAACCCGAATGTCAGACGGGGCTTCCAATTGGCTGCAGGAGCTTCCTGCAGCCAATCAGAAGCCGCGCTTTGGTTTTGGAAGTCAAACGGACTTCTGGAATGGATTCCGTTCAACTTCCAAGGTACGGTTGTATAAACTCTATTAAACCATAGAAATAATTTCAAGAAAAACAGCACATATTATTATAACAACACCCACACCATGCAGTAAAAGAGCTACGATACCACTTTAAACAGCCATGTCTTCCCTCAAAGATTTCTGGGAGCTGTAGTTTGTGAAGGGTGCTGAAAGTTGTTAGGAGACCCCTCACAGACCTACATATGTGACTGACTTTTGGTGGCACATGCCAAGCACATGCCCACACCTCATAGCTGTCAACGTTTCCCTTTTTAAAAAAATAATATCTTTTTTATTGAATGATTTTATGTTACAAAAAATAATACAACCATACTACCACTAAATATAATTAAGAAATAAAAATTACATATATCAATATTTAGTTTGTTATTTGTTATTTACCGTCTTATTTCCTCCCAAACATTCCATAAAAAAACACATGTTTCCCCTTTTTTAAGGGAAATTCCTTATTCCGAATAGGATTCCTCGCAAGAAGGCTCGCAAGAGCATTTACAGTGGTGCCTTGCAAGACGAAAAGAATCCGTTCCGCGAGTCTCTTCGTCTTGCGGGTTTTTTCGTCTTGCGAAGCAAGCCCATTAGCGGTTTAGCGGATTAGCGCTACAGTATTAGCGGCTTAGCGGGCTTAGCGGATCAGCTGATAAGCGGCTTAGCGATCAGCTGTTAAGCGGCTTAACGGATCAGCTGATAAGCGGCTTAGCGATCAGCTGTTAAGCGGCTTAGCGGATCAGCTGATAAGCGGCTTAGTGGCTTAACGGATCAGCTGTTAAGCGGCTTAGCCGATCAGCTGATAAGCAGCTTAGGGGCTTAACAGATCAGCTGTTAAGCGGCTTAGCGGATCAGCTGATAAGCGGCTTAGCGATCAGCTGTTAAGCGGCTTAGCGGATCAGCTGATAAGCGGCTTAGCGATCAGCTGTTAAGCGGCTTAGCGGATCAGCTGATAAGCGGCTTAGCGGCTTGGGGAAAAGGGGGGGGGGAAAACCCCCGCAGGAACTCGCAAGACATTTTCGTCTTGCGAAGCAAGCCCATAGGAAATTCGTTTTGCGAAGCACCTCCAAAACGGAAAACCCTTTCGTCTAGCGGGTTTTCCGTCTTGCGAGGCATTCGTCTTGCGGGGCACCACTGTACTTCCATTCTAGAATTCTTTCCAATTGTGCTCTTTCTTGCCCGCACGCCACCAAATTAATATTTACCTTGTCTTCCCTCTGCTTTCATATAACTTGCTGTGTAAAGACTTTACCACTTGAAAACTGAGGAGAGAGAAAAGAGGAAGAATGATAGGACGTCACTTCTCGAACACAAGACCTCAGGTTAAGCTATACAGACCATATTCACGACAGGCATTTAAAGCACTATGGTACCCCTTTCCTTTCACAGAGCTACAATTCCCAAAGTTGCCTGTGAAGAAGGATTGACTATGATGAAACCACTCTAGGAACTGTAGTTCTGAATGTGGTCCTACTGATTTGCATGGAAGTAGAAAGCTCAGCATGGCTGATCTTGTCCCGCGTTCAAGTGCTTAGCTCCAACAATTGACTGGAATATGTGAAAAAATAGCATTAAACTGAATGGTTCCATTTAGAACAGAAAAAGAACAGAGGCCATCAGTTGTGGAGCATTTGGAAAGGGTTATGGAAACGTGGAAAACTGGAATTGGGAAGAGAAAAACTAAGGCTATTACAGGACTTTCTCAAATCATTTGAGTAGATTTGCAAGGCAACAAGGCTCTGTACCATCAACTAGGGCTGGGTGATATATTGATATATCATCCAAAACTGGTTTTAAGTCCATAGCATGAAACTGGTTTCATAATTTTTGACCAGGCGACATACAGTCGCACCCTGGATCCCGAACGCCTTGCAAGTCAAACGTTTTCGCTCCCAAACACCGCAAACCCAGAAGCGAGTGTTGCGGTTTGTGAATGTTCTTTGGAAGCCGAACGTCTGACGGGGCTTCTGCGGCTTCCGATTGGCTGCAGGAGCTTCCTGAAGCCAATCAGAAGCCGCACTTCGGCTTCCGAATGTTTTGGAAGTCGAACGGATTACGTTTGACTTCCAAGGTATGACTGTATTGTGAATCATGATATATGTGTGTGTGCATGCACTATGCAAAAACCACAATGTGGGGGAAACCGTGAAACCAGCCAATATTGTGATATACGGGTATACAGTGGTACCTCGGGTTACGAACTTAATTCGTTCTGGAGGTCCGTTCTTAACCTGAAACTGTTCTTAACCTGAAGCACCACTTTAGCTAATGGGGCCTCCAGCTGCCGCTGGGCCGCCCGAACACAATTTCTGTTCTCATCCTGAAGCAAAGTTCTTAACCCGAGGTACTATTTCTGGGTTAGCGGAGTCTGTAACCTGAAGCGTATGTAACCTGAAGCGTATGTAACCCGAGGTACCACTGTACTGAAAACCAGATATCGCCCAGCCCTAAGGTCAACCAACCAGATATCGACCAGCCCTAAGGTCAACCAACCAGATATCGCCCAGCCCTAAGGTCAACCAACCAACCAGCTCACAGCAGCCTCCAACCACACACCAAACTCTTGGCCTTCTTACCTCTTGAGAGATGTAACGGAATAGACCAGTACGTAGCCATGAATGCCAATGGTAAATGAGTGAGGCAAGATCGTGTATTCATCCTGGACAGAAACAAAACAGAGAGGAAGAGGCTCTTTGATTTCGATACGTTTCATGAATCTGAAGACAACCAAGTTCAGCAACTGGCCCATTTCGAAGCCCATGAATGCCCATGTGTGTGGAACCTGTGTCAGTAACTTCATCTAGTGAGGCAGCAGTGACCATGCTTCAGGAAGTGACTCCTGCCCAGATAATGGATCTCTGGCAAAGTTCAGATGAATTTCCTCGAGATACCTCCCTGCACTATGGGCCTTTCGGGACCGTATGTCAAAGCAAGCAATTAATCCCATAAGCCACAGTGCTGTGGGAGAGCAGTGAAATATCAAGAGACAAACAAGGACAACCTCTCTTACCTGCCCGGCAGTGTCCACTAGTTGCAGATGGAATTCATCCTTTCCCAGCATCAACATTTTGTTGTAAGCTAAAGTGGGAAGGAGGGAAGAAGGCAATTTACAGCAACGTTGCTCTATGCCTGCTGCACCCCTCCCCAAACGAAGCCACATCCTTGGCTCCACCCCAAAGTTCTGTGCTCAAGCTATTTTTATCCCCCCTTTCTCCCCCTGCCAGTTTAGTCCTCGGCCAGCCACTATAATCTGTCCCTTGTGTCCCCATCACTGCCTGGCTGTCAAGCCAATGATGTTTCACCTGAGCTGAGGAAGCAACAGCAAAGCGATTGCTTTGCGGCGTCTTCTCGCAAAACAGATATTGGGAAAACTCTCAAGGAGCAGAGGCCTTGAAAATATTGCTATGTGCACATGCAGGGCTCGTCTGTTATGGCTTTTCTGCACGTCGTGAAAGTGTTTTAAAAAAAACTGGGGTGTGGGGGAGACCCACAAGGGAGATAATATAATAATAATAATAATTTATTTATACCCCACCCATCTGGCTGGGTTTCCCCAGCCACTCTGGGCGGCTTCCAACAAAACACTAAAATACAATAACATATTAAACATTAAAAGCTTCCCTAAACAGGGCTGCCTTCAGATGTCTTCTAAAAGTTTGGTAGTTATTTTTCTCTTTGACATCTGGTGGGAGGGCGTTCCACAGGGCGGGTGCCACTACCGAGAAGGCCTTCTGTCTGGTTCCCTGTAACTTGGCCGTTTAGGGCTTTAAAGGTCAGCACCAACACTTTGAATTGTGCTGGGAAACATACTGGGAGCCAGTGTAGGTCTTTCAAGGCCAGTGTTATATGTTCACAGCAGCCACTCCCAGTCATCAGTCTAGCTGCCGCACTCTGGATTTAAAGAGTAAATTGGCAAGGAGAGACTGTGTGCGTATGTTGCACAGCTAAAGCAGAAATGAACAGCCACAAAAGCCCAGGTGCAGCTATGGATTGTTTTGATCATAGCCATTATGTTTTTTGGAGCATCTGCCTGGAGTAAATTAGCTTTCCCCAAAGCAGCTGCCGAAGAGGCTGGCTGCAAAAGGACCCCTGAAACTTTTGGCTCCAGTCACTGCTTAGTAGAAGCAGGCAAAGCGGTTCTACAAAACAGCCTGTCCACGGGCAAAGATGCTCTCTGTGTGTGTCGTGACAGCTTATATCCAGATCCCATGCAGAGTTAGATTCACCTGATTATTTGCAGGGTAGCACCAGAATTCGCAGGAGGTGCATTTGCTCAGTAGGAATGGAAAGGCATTCTGTATGTGCTCAGGGACACATTTACTATTCTCCCACCGGCTCGTAGAAATAATAATTGTCAGCTACCAAGCCCAGGCAGTTACAAAGGAACAAAAGTGGCAAGCTCCAATACATGCACAAACCCCAACAGACAATTATCGCTAAAAACATCTGACACCATACCAACTCAGGGAAATGTTTTGGGTAGATAAATCTCCCCCCGCCCAAAAAAAAAAAGTAATTCCCCAGGAGTGATCACCACACAGGGCAAAGCGGAAGTGGACAAGGCAGATTTATGGGGGAAATTGGCCTTCAGATAACCTAAAAAATGTTCCGCTGTATGAAGTGGGTGTGAGTGGCAGCCCCTTTCGAAAACAGGAAAGGACTCTGGCGATGAGGGAGGGTTTGCGGCCTGGCAGGAAGTGAGGAGAGATGCTACTGAATCCGTTTATCACTGGGGAGAAAACACTTGAGCTTTCCACACAACATCCCAGCTACGCACAAGAGCTATTTCACTTTTAGCATCACCTGAAACCCAAAACAGTCTGTTTTTGCTTTGCTTGGTTCAGAAATAGGGCTCTATTGCTCTGCCCAGGGGTCAAAGAAAACATGATCAAAACTTCCCTCTATCTTGCTCACTGCTTGACTATAACAAACAAGAGTCCAGATATACCCAGAAAAGATCTAACCACAACACTTACTGCTTTCCACTGTAGGATCGTAACACTCCAGAAACTCCCCATCAATGAACTGGTGTGCAAGGGATGTTTTACCTGAAGAGGAAAGATGAGAAAAGAAAGTCTTGCCTCAGGTGTGCTCTTTGGATCTCAGCAGCCAATAAACTCAGCATTCAGAAGAAAACAAACACCTCCAGCAGGTCCCCCCCAAATTACACTGATTCCCAGTTTAAGATCACCCCACCTGTCAAGGAAATTCCCATGCTTAAGTACTGGGGTGAGGTGAAACACAGTGATAGAGCAAAGTAATTTAGTTTTAAACCACTATCGTCCCTGCGATAACTCAAGGTGGGCAATGGACAAATGGTTGAGAGCTCTAGAATAATCTGGAGGAACTCAAAAGAGGCAGGGGGAATTGTTTCACGAAAACCTAAAAAATTGCAAATGTGAATTTTTAGCCTGGTGACAGATCTTCAACTGGGGGGAGTAAATAATGAAAGTTGTCTTCATGGTACTATTTGATATACAGAAAACACTAACACATTCAGTTGATTTGAAGATCTGATGTGAATTTGCGGAGTGGAGGGCTTTTAGGGGGAAACACTTTATCTTTGAATATACTTGTCACAAATTGTAGCTCTTACATTTCATGCCTTCTGGAACCCTCTGTTTACAATTTTCTTCAAACTGGGGCATGTGTATAGATGGGCACGCCGCATGTATTCTAAATACCTGCCAGCCAATTATAAACTTCACACATTCAATAAGAGTGTTGTGAAACTTCCCTGTTTTTTCTTATCCTTTACAAATTGTACATACAGATACAACCAGTCCACTTGTGGACTTTCTTACACAAAAAGACCTGATAGCAGAAAATCAATGCTAACTCTCTTTAACTTTGTGCACTGTTGGATACAACAACCCCTTGTGTTTAAGGCGCCATAAAACTCTCAATGGTTAATCCTAAGTGGTGCTACTTCATGCTTTTAATTTTTAATTTTAACAAATTGATTACATCACTCGGTTATTCAGTGAAGAAATTTAAAACATACTCATTGCTTAATTGGGACGCAAGTGGCGCTGTGGGTTAAACCACAGAGCCTAGGACTTGCCGATCAGAAGGTCGGCGGTTCGAATCCCCGCAACGGGGTGAGCTCCCATTGCTCTGTCCCAGTTTCTGCCAACCTAGCAGTTCAAAAGCACGTCAAAGTGCAAGTAGATAAATAGGTACCGCTCCGGCGGGAAGGTAAACGGTGTTTCCGTGCGCTGCTCTGGTTCGCCAGAAGCGGCTTAGTCATGCTGGCCACATGACCCGGAAGCTGTACGCTGGCTCCCTCGGCCAATAAAGCGAGGTGAGCGCCGCAACCCCAGAGTCGGCCACGACCGGACCTAATGGTCAGGGGTCCCTTTACCTTTACATTGCTTAATATCAATCATCTTGTTGATTCCCTCTTAAACAAATTCATCTACTAAATTTATAGCTCAATGTATATAAGCTTTTGCAGAAGTAAGTCCCATTACTTTCAGATAAATGAGCACAGGACTACAGTCTTAGATATATGTAACATGTCTCAAATCCTGCAGTATTAATCCAACTGAGATGAGAAAGGGTTTTTTTTCCCCCTGTACAGTGAAAAGCAATCAATATGTCAGCAGCTTTTAGCCAGTACCAATTTGTAAGTCAATGTTTTGGGGTCAGTTCAGGCAATGTTGTTTTATTTAACGCCATCAAGCAAATACAGCATTCAGTATTGCGGATCAATATTTGGATAGCCATGTATCAGCTATGGGCTCCTCCTCACCATAAATTGAGTTTGGCAACACACACACGTCTCTAAATGCAAGGAAACTGGCTCACGGGCTGCAATGTTGCGCCTAATTAGGCTACAAAGCTGGTTCCCCAAGGCTGTTTGTGTGTTGCCAAGTAGTCTGGAGGAAAACAGAAGAGCCAGCAGCTTACACATCTGCTGGTACACGCAGAGCATCATCTCATGCCTTGGGGGAAGCCCACAAGCCCAAGAGGTCATCTGGAGCACAGGATGGGATGAGCAGAAGTGGGGAAACAATAATAATAATAATAATAATAATAATAATAATTATAGTTTATTTATACCCCACCCATCTGGCTCTGTTTCCCCAGCCACTCTGGGCGGCTTCCAACAGAATATTAAAATACAATAACCTATTAAACATTAAAAGCTTCCCTAAACAGGGCTGCCTTCAGATGCCTTCTAAAAGTTTGGTAATTATTTTTCTCTTTGACATCTGGTGGGAGGGCGTTCCACAGGGCGGGCGCCACTACCGAGAAGGCCCTCTGCCTGGTTCCCTGTAACTTGGCTTCTCGCAGCGAGGGAACCGCCAGGAGGCCCTCGGCGCTGGACCTCAGTGTCCGGGCAGAACGATGGGCAAGAGGACGAGGTCTTTGCTCTTTCTTCTTCTTGGTGACAAAAGAAAGGGCTGCGCCGAAGTACGTAAGGATTTAGTGAACTAGCCAAACATGTTGCATCCCACCTGGTGGACCATGGAGGAAACGCCAGAAGAAAACAAGAAGATCTGCAAAGATTTGTCTCCATGATGCAGCTCTGGGGTGTATTAACAGCAGTTAAATTTAGCATATTGCTCCCGCACTTGCCACATGAAAGGATCTGGGCTCACGTTCACATCTTTGCACATAAGTGTGCACAGAACAATTTATGAATCTGTTTAGCCTGTACATCTTGTTGTTAACTCTTGCCCTCCCACACTCCTCCAAGATCTTGTAGCTGAGTCAGCATCCTTTTTAGTTCAGCCACAAGGGAAGGGATTTATACAGTATGTAGCTAGTTTAACAAAGGTCCGTATAGTTAAAGCTATGGTTTTCCAAGTAGTGATGTATGGAAGTGAGAGCTGGACCATAAAGAAGGCTGATTGCCGAAGAATTGATGCTTTTGAATTATGGTGCTGGAGGAGACTCTTGAGAGTCCCATGGACTGCAAGAAGATCAAACCTCTCCATTCTGAAGGAAATCAGCCCTGAGTGCTCACTGGAAGGACAGATCCTGAAGCTGAGGCTCCAATACTTTGGCCACCTCATGAGAAGAGAAGATTCCCTGGAAAAGACCCTGATGTTGGGAAAGATGGAAGGCACAAGGAGAAGGGGACGACAGAGGATGAGATGGTTGGATAGTGTTCTCGAAGCTACCAGCATGAGTTTGGCCAAACTGCAGGAGGCAGTGGAAGACAGGAGTGCCTGGCGTGCTCTGGTCCATGGGGTCACGAAGAGTCGGACACGACTAAACGACTAAACAACAACAAGCTAGTTTAAAGATGCTGCTCTGTTGCGATTCTCTACTGCAGACTAGCTTAGCCGGGTGCCTTAGATCTGAGTCTAATGCACTAGAACAGCCGCCCCCAACCTTGTGTCCTCAGACTACAACTCACATCAACCCCAGCTCACATGGCTCTGCTGGTTCCCACTAATGGGAGTTGTAGTCCAAAACATCTAGAGGGCACTAGGTTGGGAAGATGGCAGTACGGATTCTTAGAATTCTCCTTGCTGTGTTGAAAGAAATATTTCAAATTCCTTGAATGTTTAGGAACATTGGCAACCTGACACCCAGGGTCCTTCCAGTGCAACTTACTAGAGCCTTCTGACATCTCTAAATTATCTGTGAAGCAAAGAAAGGCTCTTTATTCTTTTTAATATGGGCTCTAAACACAGAAAAAAGGGGCAACAAAAGTAAATTGAAATGTGAAGTCATTATCTTAACCTCATTCAGGGGAATGACATGGCCGGACAATCCCCTAAATCACCATTTGTTTGCATGCGCAAGCAACAAGACAGTCCCAAGGCACTGATGTTCAACGCTGCAAGAGAGCAGAGGTGTGCAATTAAATATGGCTGCATTTACCCATACCAAACATGGAACATTTTGTTTTGCAACAGCCCCACACCAGCAAAGCAGAACTCTTGCTACAGCTTGACCTGTTCAAACAAGGCACAGATGGTTGTAGGAGGATCAACAACCTAAACATTACGCACACAGGGTCCACGCCAACTAGAAATGTATTAACCCCTTCCGTCGCAGAAAGGACCCCTAGCCTTAAAAGCAAATTCTCACGCACAGGCACGTCGAGATTATATTACCCACCCAACCCAAGAAAGAAAAGGCTGCTGAAGACTTAATATAAGAAAACAAGCCATTTCACCACCCAGCCTCCCATTATGACCTCTGACCTCTGGTCATTTCCTCCCACTGCATGTGGATTAATAGAAAACAGACCCCAAGTGACCTCTTGCATTTGTGTTCAGGGAAGAGGTCAGATGAGCAGGGAAATGTGCATGTGCAAATAACTCCCCAAGGAGAAACTAGGAAAGGTCAGGAAATAAGCTGTCCAGAAGCTACAAGTTTTCTGGACTCAGGAGCCGCTTAAAGCTTTTCTGGACAGGCAAGGAGGGCTCCAGTTCACTATAAATAGGTGACTAGGAAAAAATGGGGGAGGTGTTACTTTTGGATGCAAATGCATGCAGAATTTTAACTCCATCCCTGCAGATCTGCACAAATCCCCCCAGCAACTTATACCTAAACAAGTATTTAATAGGACATGCTAAGATTTGAAGTTTGGGGCAGGGGGCTTATAATAGCATTGTGATTTCCCCTGAAAACACACACACACACACACACACACACACACACACACGATTTCCCCCCTCCCCCACACACTTGGCAGAGATTTATGGCACTTTGCAACAACTATTCTGTGCAACCAGCAAAGGGAGAAATGTATCTATCTCAGGATGTACGAACTTCAAGCCCAGGAAGCTGTCAGACAGGAAACCCACAACATAGAGAGCAGAGCAGCCCATCCCCAAACACCGGCTGCTCAGAGAATCAAATGGCACCAATCCCCACACTGCCCCGTTTTCCGTTTGGCCTGATCCTGTCAATATTCAAGTTCTACGATTTTGGTGCCTGCCCCTTCCCGATATTTTAAGCATGAAGATCAGGGTGCAGGTGGTGTTACTATTCTTATTTCCCAAATCACCCCCTACCTACATTTCCGAAGACCCCCAGCCAAGTCGCCCATATAATCAGACCTACCTGACTAGTCTTAGACCAGGGCGGGGCTCCCCCCTCCACCCCCTTTAAGAGAGAGCTGTAGAGAAAGGAGGGAATCTCGGGCAGGTGTTCCTGGCGCGGACACACCTGCCGAAATCCTCCCTCCCACGCGCGCACCTCCTGCTAGAAAGGCGCAGAAGCGCCTCTCCGCTTTCTCACCTGGAGATGCCGATCCCCCTCCCCGGTCCTCTCGCATCCCTCTAAAACCAAAGCCTCCCCAGATATATCAAAAAGTCATTTATCCCAGCTGCTCCCAATCCTCGCCGCCTTCCCCACCCGCGCTCCGGATGGCAAGGGCTGCTCCGGGCGCACCACGTGCGGCGTTCTGGCCACACGCACCAGACCCGCTTCCTCATCCTTCCCCGCTTTCCGGCCACCCCCCACCCCACCCCACCCATAGCATGCTTCCAGACCAGCCCCCCCCCCGGGACCCCCATCCTGCGCGACCCCTTCTTAGCACCCACTCGTGATCCTGCCCGCCCTTCCCCACGCGCCCTTCGATTGTTCCAAGCCTCCGCGGCCAGACCCTCGTGCAATCTCCCCGCCCCGCTGCGCAAGGAGACCCCCCCAATCCTTGCCACCTCCCGAGCACCCACCCCTCCCCCGGCCACGTGCCCCCCTCTCCTCCCCGGGTGGTACCCATCTCTTCCTCGATCTGGACCACTTCCTCACCCACAGAGCGGTATCCCAGGATCACGACCTTCCGATAGCGCACCAGCGGCATGGCCCGGCGCAGGGCGTGGGGAGGGAGGGAGGGGGGCGTGGGGTGCCGCAAGGCGGGCGGGCCGCGCGATGAAAGAGCCCGCCGGAGAGTAGAGCCGCGGGCGCCGCCGACGCCGCCGCAACTACAAACGCCCACGTGACCACAACACTGGCCTACAGCCGCCGCTCCTCATTGGCCCCGGGGAAGAGGGCGCGTGCGCGCTGCGGAGGTGTTCCCGTTCCATTCATGAAAAACGGCGAGGGGGTGGGGGGAGGCGAGGCGCAAAGGAGGAGGATGCGGGGGGCGTTTCCCGACGCGCAAGTGAGGAGCTCCGCCGGGCGGGAAACCAGCCGGGCGCTTAGCGGACCCTTCCCTAATAATAATAATAATAATAATAATAATAATAATAATAATTTATTTATACCCCAGCCATCTGGCTGGGCTTCCCCAGCCACTCTGGGCGGCTTCCAAAAAAATATTAAAATATGGAAGAAATTTAAAGACTATTTGAATCAATACTGTAACATTAAAAATTTAGAAATTACTTGAAAGTACCAAATAGGCCTAGCACTAAATTAAGGGTTAATTAAATAAATGAGATCTAGAACCTTAAGAAAAGTGAAGACATTTTACTTTAATTGGAATATTGTGTTTTAATAATGATATTAGAAAACTGCTACATTTAAATACAAGGAAAGCCAGATGGAAGGTCTCAGAGGAAGTCCAAAACATGTTGATGAGGTTAGAAGTTTAAATAACCAATTAATTTGTGTTGTTTAGGTTTTGTTGTTATGGGTTTTTATTTTATTTTTTGTTTATATTTGTGATTGTTTTTGTAGTATGTGTTATCTTTGTAAGAAACTTAATAAAAACTATTTAAAACAAAAAACAAAACAATATTAAAATACCGTAATACATCAAACATTTAAAAGCTTCCCTAAACAGGGCTGCCTTCAGATGTTCTTACTCTGCGTGTTTACTTGGGAGTAAACGGCCTCGAGCTCAGTGGGATTTCAATAATGCTGAGCAGCAAGGGGGTGTAGAGAAGGAGGGACGAAGGAGGGGATTGCAATAGAGAACTTTCCTCCCCCTCAGCAGATGAAAACATTAGCAGGATTTTAATTTCACTTGTAATCGGTGCTTTTTTGTAATTTTTAAAAAAAATGCTTAGGGATACTCTGATTTTGACTCAAGAAAATCACCATTTTATAGTTCGAATCGGTGGAACATAAATACAGTAAATGGACAAAAGTACAAAGATTCACAAAATGTTTAGGGGGATGCGTAGCCTCCCAAAAAAGCACTCCTTGTGATGTAACAAATACTTTGGATAATGTGGAGGGATACAAAATATAGATTATGGAATGATATGCAGTTGTAAATGTTCACAATAGGAACCATGGAGGGGATGGGGGGGGTCTGGAGATTCAGAGTAATCACTATATATGGATATGTATTTGGATTGTTATAAATTTTTACTTGTAAAATCAAATAAAAATGATGTTTTTTAAAAAAGAGAAATGAAAACTTTCCTCCCCCTCATCCATTCATTCCTCCTTTGAGAATGGTTGTGATGGACGAGCCATGGCTTATTAGACACTCTTTTTGTTTTCTAATTTTTATTTATACTTTTCAAGTTTATACATTTCACTAATTTTATACATCTCATTAAATTTTACCATCATTTTGACATTTCACAACTTGGCTTCCTTCCCCCTCTTTCTGTGGTTCCTTAAATTCCTTTTGATATCTTCTGCATATCCAAATTAACCTAATTTGCTCATTTATTCATCTTCTTTAAATATATATTCTTATGAAACTGCCGGTAATTACAGTAGTCCTGCCAATGTTTTTATCTGTTTACAGTTTATCTGTAAATATTCAATAAGCCATTTCCATTCTTTTATAAAAAGTTTGTTATCTTGATTTCTTATTCTTCTGGTAAGTTTCGCCATTTCTGCATATTCCATAAGTTTTTGTATCCATTCTTCGTTTGCTGGGATTTATTTGTCCATCTTTTATCTTTTTTAAAAAATGTTTTTACAGTGGTACCTCGCAAGACGAATGCCTCGCAAGACAAAAAACTCGCTAGACAAAAGGGTTTTTTGTTTTCTGAGCTGCTTCGCAAGACGGTTTTCGCTATGGGCTTGCTTCGCAAGACGGAAACGTCTTGCAAGTTTGTTTCCTTTTTCTTAACACCGTTAATACAGTTGCGACTTGACTTCGAGGAGCAACTCATAGAACGCGGTGTGGTAGCCTTTTTTGAGGTTTTTAAAGACTTTGGTGATTTTTGAAGCTTTTCCAAAACTTTCCCGACACCGTGCTTCGCAAGACGAAAAAAATCGCAAGACGACAAAACTCACGGAACGAATTAATTTCGTCTTGCGAGGCACCACTGTATTACAAAAATTCTTGGGTTACAAAAGTATATATACATCGTCTGTTTTCAGATCATAAAACGACCCCCGTTCTCTCCCTCCCCCCCCACCTCTCTTCCCACCCCCCAACCTTATGCTATAATATGCAACACCAACATCTCACATCAAATAGAACTGATCTTGTAGAAATTAAAAACTGAATCCTCACCCCTCCAATACAGTGGTACCTCGGGTTAAGTACTTAATTCGTTCCGGAGGTCTGTTCTTAACCTGAAACTGTTCTTAACCTGAAGCACCACTTTAGCTAATGGGGCCTCCTGCTGCTGCCGCGCCGCCGGAGCACAATTTCTGTTCTCATCCTGAAGCAAAGTTCTTAACCTGAGGTACTATTTCTGGGTTAGCGGAGTCTGTAACCTGAAGCGTATGTAACCCGAGGTACCACTGTACTGGAGAAAAAAGCATACTTCATTGCCTCTGTGGGCTGAAGCAGGCTAACATAGGGTGGTGCAGGACAGGCAAACAGCTATAGGCGCTTGTAAAGGTACGCCTGACCATTAAGTCCAGTCGCAGACGACTCTGGGGTTGCGGTGCTCATCACGCTCTATAGGCCGAGGAGGCCAGCATTTGTCCATAGCTTCTAGGTCATGTGGCCAGCATGACTAAGCCGCTTCTGGCGAACCAGAGCAGCGCATGGAAATGCCGTTTACCTTCCCACCGGAGTGGTACCTATTTATCTACTTGCACTTGATGTGCTTTCGAACTGCTAGGTGGGCAGAAGCTGGGACCGAACAACGGGAGCTCACCCCATCGCGGGGATTCGAACCGCCGACCTTCTGATCGGCAAGCCCTATGTGTGGTTTAGACCACAGCGCCACCTGCTTATAGACTGTTGCTGTTTTCCGGTGGGATTCAGTCAAAGTCAAGTTTTGCGCTTTTATGGTCTGTTGGGAGGCCTCGTTCAACAGGCCCACTTTCCTTTTTGCAGTAAGGAAAGCGACCCAAAAATGCACTCCAAAAAGTGTGTGGGAGAAGGCTTGTTTTGACGCAACACCATTTAATCTCTCGCCACAAATAAATTCAATGGAACTCTCTTGAAATAGCCAACCTAGTTGTCAGATTTCCCTGCAAACAGATCAGGATGAAGGATCCATAAACTGGTCTTCTGGAAGTGCCCTGGATCTGGGCATCCTGTGTGTGATTGAACCCCACCTGAAAACAGTGACTCTGGAATCCCCCAAGCAATACATTGGAAATAACCTGTTTTTTGTATGACTCTGCAGACCGCTTTGCTCTTCTGGGGCATGTAGCGTTCTGGCATTTGACTTTGGTACACCAATTGCTATCATAACTTTGCAGATGATGCCATTTCCCAAATCTGTGCTTATGGAAAGGATACTGCCTTTATACCAATTCAAACCATTACAGTGGTACCTCAGGTTAAGAACTTATTTCGTTCTGGAGGTCCGTTCTTAACCTGAAACTGTTCTTAACCTGAGGTACCACTTTAGCTAATGGGGCCTCCCACTGCCGCTGAGCGATTTCTGTTCTCATCCTGAAGCAAAGTTCTTAACCCGAGGTGCTATTTCTGGATTAGCAGAGTCTGTAACCTGAAGCGTATGTAACCTGAAGCGTATGTAACCCGAGGCACCACTGTATTAGTCTGCCTAGCTCAGTATTGTGGGCACTGATCTGCAGCGTTCCTCCCGGGACTCTGAACCTGGGACCTTTGTTTATAAGCATAGGATGTGTGCTCTGTCACATAGACAAGGCCCCTCTCTATCTTCACCCAACAATCCAAATTATTTTCATGCTTCCTTGTTTCTCCTAAAAAGGTAAAAGGACCCCTGACAGTTAAGTCCAGGCACAGACGACTCGGGTTGCGGCGCTCAGCTCGCTTTACAAGCCTAGGGAGCTGGTGTTTGTCCGCAGACAGTTTTTCTGGGTCATATGGCCAGCATGGCCAAGTCTCTTCTGGTGAAACCAGAGCAGCGCACGGAAATGCCATTTACCTTCCCGCCGGAGTGGTACCTATTGATCTACTTGCACTTTTTGGCTTGCTTTCGAACTGCTAGGTTGGCAGGAGCAGGGACCGAGCAATGGAAGCTCACACCCCATCACGGGGATTCGAACCGCCGACCTTCTGATCGGCAAGCCCAAGAGGCTCAGTGGTTTAGACAACAGTGCCAACCGTGTCCCTTTTGTTTCTCCTAGGGATGCCTTTTTCCAGTTGTTTGGGTATCTAGAAAGCAAGCCTATAGGATTGGGTTTGTTGAGCTCCCTGCTCCCATCCTAAGCTTTGCCAGTGGGTCAGGGATGGTGGGAATTTGTTTGCTTGTTTGTTAATTATTAATTATACAGCCCTTCACCACAAGGGTAACAACACATGTTCATCATGGCTTTTGGGATGCTCAGGTTTTTAAAGCTAAGTCACTCCTAGCCTTTCCCAGGTCTGTAGTTTACGCTCACTGCTGCCCTTATCAAAATCTGTGAAGTTGTAATGGTACATTTAATTTCTGATCATTCTGATTTTGTTTGTTAAGAAGAACTAAGACCAGAAGCTGTTTCCATGCATTCTTGAGCTGGGGCACTAGAGGGCGGCTGAAACCACGCAGTTTAAAGATTACATGTTTTATCCTGTGTTTCCTAACAAA